GACTAGTTCTGACGGTTGTTGGGGAAGAAAGATACCTGGTGTTCCATTACAGCATCACTTACTTGTTAACAGGTACCTTTTTCTTCTCTAATTGTTTTAATGCGAATGGTGAAAAAATAGTAAAGGCTTGATGCTTTCCTCTTATACCATCCTGTCATTTTGTTCAGTTAAATCGCTTTACATTTTGAGTTCTTTGAACATGGCAGTGTTGTGGGACGGTCCCATTTTCAGAAAGATTAGGCCTGACTTGCTGGCAAACACAGTTGAAAGCTGCCATGTGGCATTCATATTTCCAGTGCAGGGATGTCACTCGTGTGTATGGCTGTGCAAAACCAGCTCTGAATACGCAATTACATTGATCAGATGTCTGGAAAAATAGTTCAATAATTTTTAGCTAGTTGGACAATTTATCTAACCCATAACAGTGTGTAACTAGCTGTCTAAATCAGAGTCATTCTGTGATCTGAAGATTTAGATAAGTTAAACATGCTGAAATAGTAGAGATTTTGGTTAAAAGCTAAGTATCTTGTTCAATCAAATCTTTTAGTTTTTCTTTTTCAAGTTCTTTATTTTTATTGAGAAACGTAGTTTCTTAGGTAATGCTGCTTATACATGTGAAGAGATAACCAAATAATTAAAAAACAACCCTCAGTGGCATTGGGTTTGATTTCAGGATAGATTTCTTATAAAGTATGCATGATATTTGCTAACGTTCACCAATGCTGAGCTACTGACAATCCAATGTGTGGCCAGTTTTTACTCCCACGGAGTCAATGGTGCTATCCTATGTGTCTCATTCTTACGTAATATTTTCCCTTATTCAAAGTTTTCAGACTTGCAGTTCTATTAATAATGTAGATGCTTGCATTACAGGTACTCTGCTTTATCCTGGCACTCTTTAACTTCGCGACTTCTGAAATATTGCTGTAGATCAATGGTGTGGTGCTGCCTGCGAGTTGCTGTGTGCCAGTCAGATCCAGCGTGCGTACCTTGCATCCTCTGGGGACCTCGTCAACAGAGAGTGGTGCTAAAAACAACAAGATAGCACAGAAAATGAATGAAATGTTTCACAGCAGGTGTATGATGTTACCGTTGACTTAACACATAACATAACTTTAAAGAGTTTAATTGGATTTGTCTCCACAGGCTACTCAGTAGCAAAATGTTTGGATGCAGAAGGATGTGTGGGTTGGGGTTTTGGAGGGGATTCTGTGTGTGTGTCGGTCCCAAGGGCAACAGTGAATCATGTTAGTAGTGTAACAGTTCAAAAGGAAAAAGAAGTATTTCGGATGCTGAAATGGATGTTTTACAGCTTTCTCTGAGTTTAGATGGAAACTAGCTAAAAGGTGACACAGGAAGAACTGCTTCAGTCAGAAGCCTGGAGCATAATGAAACCCCAAAATAAAGACTTGCACCTAAGCTTGGCTTGTCTTCTCATAGGTTTCTGTGATTCTTGTGCTGCAGGAAGGAGTCCAGTTTGTACGCGGTTCCCTGGTAGGAGATGTGGATTTGGGGACTCTGCAGGGAGTTGGTTAGTTTTCACAGGGATCTGCAGCCAGAGGCAAGAACCCAATTAATGTGTGAGTTTAAGGAGGGAAATTGGTAATGTGTACTCCTGGGGAGGAACCTGGGTTAAATAGAAAACTGTGTATTTAGAAATACTGAATGCAGGCGGTTTTGAAGTACCAATGGAAACTGCAAGGTGAAAGGGAAAGAGTTGTGTGACCCCCAGAGGAGGGGTCTGTGTGTGGAGGTGCACACACTTGGAGGTGGCTGGATGGGTTGGTGCAGAACTGAGCAGGCTTCAGCTGATTTGATATGAGGGTTACGAGCGTGTCACCCAGGATTACAGAGGATACCGTGAAATAAAATCATAACTACTTTAGGAAGAAAATAGCTTAAAGCCATACATCTTTGCTACTGAAGTTCTATTATGATTTTTTTTTTTTCATGTGAAATTTGTCAGCTTCTCAGGTCTTTTAATCTCTTTTTTGAAAGAAGCTAAGTACGTTAAGGCAGGAGGTGCAAGCTCATCTCCGCAGGCTTTGAGCCCACCAGAGGACTTGTAGGGGCAGTAACGCAGCCACCTGCCTGGGATAACCTCCCCTCTGTCCCTTTAGCTCTTACCTGCCCAGGCCCTTGTGTGGCGTCAGCCACAGCAGCAGGGAACTACTGGAGAGTCCAGCGTAGGGCAACAAAGATGATGGAGGGATTGGAGCATCTCCCTGATGAGGAAAGGCTGAGAGAGCTGGGGCTCTTTAGCCTGGAGAAGAGAAGGCTGAGGGGAGACCTTATGAATGCTGACAAGTATCTAAAGGGGGGGTTGAAGGAGGAGTGAGACAGACCCCTATCAGTGGTTCCCACTGACCGTACGAGGGGCAACGGGCACAAGCTGGAACATGGGAAGTTCCACTCAAATATGAGGAAAAACTTCTTTGGGGTGAGGGTGACAGAGCCCTGGAACAGGCCACCCAGGGAGGGTGTGGAGTCCTCTTTTCTGGAGATCTTCAAGCCCTGCCTGGATGCTCCTGAGTGATGTGCTCTGGGCAACCCTGCTTTGGCAGGGGGTTTTACTAGATGGTCTCTAGAGGCCCCTTCCAACTCTGACAATTCCATGGTCTCCTGATGAGCTGGAGCGTGAACAGAAAGAGCTGGGTGTAGGGTGAGCAGAGCAAGTATAGAATCATGGAATCATGGAGTCCTCTTTTCTGGAGATCTTCAAGCCCTGCCTGGATGCTCCTGAGTGATGTGCTCTGGGCAACCCTGCTTTGGCAGGGGGTTTTACTAGATGGTCTCTAGAGGCCCCTTCCAACTCTGACAATTCCATGGTCTCCTGATGAGCTGGAGCGTGAACAGAAAGAGCTGGGTGTAGGGTGAGCAGAGCAAGTATAGAATCATGGAATCATTTAGGTTGGAAAAGACCTTTAAGATCACAGAGTGTGTGTACCGGCAGCACAAGGTCTTGCCAGGCTGAACACCTAATTTAGGGAAATCTGATAAAATCCTAATCAATGGTGGTGTTTTTCATCATGTACTCTTAAGTGCTTAAATCCATGGGTGGTGCTTGATTTGCTGGTGGGTTACTCAACACATACAAATGCTTCCCATAAGTAAAACAAGGAATTTTCTGCACAGACTTAGGACTTCTGGTGAAAGGAGGAGGTGCGTGCCTGGCTTCTCAGCGCATCTTCTGTCAGAGTAGCGGCATGTGGTTTGGATCAGGGAGGATATGGATGTTAAAGTGCAGGTTGCAGTTGAATTTACCGTGTACATCGTGCATAAAAATGAATTATTCAGGAAAAAATCATAGACACAAATCTGCTCGCTCCCTGAAAAAAGCCTCTTGGAACAGTCCTCTCTGCTCTCCGTAGCCACGTACGTAGGCTGCAAGGTAGAAGTGCAAGGATGTGACCGGAGTGCAAATCCTCTGGGATCTGTCTGATAAGATCCAGCGTCCCTCTCTGTCTCCTCGCCCTGAGTCATGGCCCGGCACAGTCCTGGCAGTTCCCTTGTGACAGCGTGTGTGCCTCTCCAAGGCCGTCACCCGGGTTTTATGGAGCGAAATCGGATCTTTTCCCCGCAGCCTCCCCCGGGTCAGAAATCACTTCTTTTGGAGGGGTCGGGAGAGAGAAACAAGTTTACCGAGGGATGAAGAGGGTTGGACTGAAGGGAACTTTGAGGAAATATACTGTAAATATTATCTAAGGGTATTGTTTGTGCTGGCAGCATTTTGGAATGGTGCCAACCTTTCCGTGTGTTGTGTTGAAGGGATTTAAGGAGGACTCGGGAGGCCTGGCTGGTCCCTACACCTGCAAGGGAACAGCACGTGGACGTGTTCTTGTGGACTGTTTTGTTTTCTCCAGTTCTTACCTTCTGGTTTGGGACTTGGGCACCTATTTACCTTGGGGTGGCTATATAAGGAACAGAAGTTTGGCGGACTGTTTTTGGTAGATAGGGATGTCTATATTAAGTAATAGGAAGAGTATGTCATTCCCTCTTGTGTGCCTGCTGATTCCCGAGAGCTGATACGTGTTTTCTGTAGTGGTATGCTGTTGAAAAAAGATCTCATCCTGAATCTTTATTAGCATTATATTAAACTGTGTTGGGTTTTTTATTATTATTATTATTTTAATTGGCAAACTGTTAGTATAAAGTCAGTTTTAGGAAGCCCGAGGTTGTGATGTGGGTCCTAGCAAATAGACAGGGACCCGTATCACGAAAGCATATTTTTGCATTTTTCTCTCCTTCAATTTTGGGAATTTGCAAGGCAGCTTTAAATTGTGGTTTTGAGGAGCTGTACATAACCTTGCTATCAAAATAGGCAATAGTATTATACTTCAAAATTCTTTTTATTGACCTTGTAATTGGATTGTTCAGAATATGTCTCTGAACATGGGGTATGTGCTCCAAAATAATGCATGTGCCAAAACTGAAGAGGTGACTTCTGCTTCAAAGTTCTTTGTTTATGTTACATGTGATGTAAAACAAAGGCTCCTACACTCTTTGCTGGATGTTGGAACTGGCAGCACTAGCAGAAGGTGGCCCGGAGCCAGGTTAGGTATTGTGTTGGGAGGTGTGTGTGCTGGTGGTGATACAGCGACGTAACCAGTGAAAATCTTGCATAATACATATTATGAGTAAATAAATACTACTGCTGTTCTTCGTGAGCAGTTTGCGTGCTAATTCGTTACTCAAACATGCTAGGATTTCTTAAATTGTGAGTGTTTGTCTTTTTGAATTATCTTTATGGATGAACTGCCAAAGACTGCTCAAGATGTCGGTCATGTTTGAATATTGATTTCTATCCCTTTGCCTAGAAACTGGGGCTAAAGAAAATGTTCCTGTAAGCAGGAAAAAGAGAGTGATCTGGATGCAAGCTTCAGATATTTTCCCTAGGCTGCAAACGGCTTTACAGAGGGAGCAATTTGAACTTTAATCATTTTGTAACTTTAACCTACAATAGATAACGCAGCAGGAATTTTTTCCAGGAATACTATGAACTTCTGATGTCAAAGCAAGAGATAGACGTGGATCGAGGCAGCAGAACTCATTTGTAAGTTTGTACAGAAACCTCTCCTACAGATCTCTAGAGCCTGTTTAAACCTTTGCAATAACTTTGTATTGGTGACACACGTATGTTGTATCACAATCATGTGATTTGATTAATGTATTAGTATTTCTGTGTTCAGTATACGTCTTTTGATAGCCCTTGTCCCCAGTGGGGGGACCCCATCGGGTCTTTCTGACCCATAAAGCTGGTGAACTGATGGTGTGCCATGGCCACCTCCGGGGCATGGAGCTCTGAGGGTATAGGGGGGGTCTCAGAGGGTACAGAGGGTCTCTGAGGGTAGGTTGCAGGTAGGAGCTGCTCCAGGGCATTTCCAGCCCGTCAGCTCAGCGTGAGGAGGAACTGGCTGCGTGACTGGGTCTGAGGATGTCTTATGCTGGTACATCAGCAACATCTGTTAATTTGCTTCCTCCCGTGGTGACAATTAAGATTATTTGGCAGCCCTCATTCCAGATCAGCCTCTCTGACGGTCTCGTAATGTCCTTCATGGCATGAGAACTACATCTGAATTATTCAGAAGCGATGTGCAGCTGAAGAGGCACAGTCTTGCTACAGTTGCTTGAGAAGGCTTCTCGGTGTGGAATTCTCCATCACCATACTGTATTGCATACATCTTGCAATTATTTTTTTTTGCATTGCATTTAAAAGATTTTTAGTGGAGAAAACAATGGCAGCAGAGGCTCAAATAAACAGAGGCTTGGGATCGAAGTGTCTGCATCTTCACCCTTCTGTCTTGTCAGCGTGATTTATTAGGGGGGAAATAGCCAAGACTGTATCAAAAATGTTGTTGGAGAGCACAGAGGAAATAGTGTTGTGATTCTGCAAGTAATGGGATATAACAGCGGGCAAATGCAAGCATTAAAGTCCTATAGAAACTTCTAAATTGGGGAAATGAGAGTGATAGAGGAAGAGGTGTGACGATGAGTATGAACATTGGCTCATCATCTTCACTCAGTGGAGATTTACTTCCAGGTAGATTTAAGTGCACACGTTTAAAGCCTCACGTGCTTTCTTACAATCACTTTGCTTACGGGCCCAGTAAAATCTGAAAGAACTTGCATTAACCTGTCACAAATATCAAGTATAGATAAGCCCTTCATATAATGTCATACTGTAATTAGAGTAAGACTACCGCTAAAATACAGCGTGCCCGAGTTTCTTGTTGTAGTCTGATGACTAAGGTGCTGGTCTTACTGTTCCCTGTCAATGTGTAGCCTGAAGATAGCGAGTCCTTAATCAAAGCTTGTTGACCTTGCCTGACCTCGTGATGTTGTGATTGATCTAGGCTGAGGAAGTGAGATAACGGAACTCTCTTCTTAAGGTTTTGTCTCACTGCGTTAATTTTAAAGCTGTGTTACTTCCTCCGTTACTTTAGGAACAGCTGATACTTTCTTACATATTAAAAAAAAAGCAAAAGTTTTTGTTTTGGTTTTGGTGTTTTTGTTTTGTTTTGTTTCCTTTCAAGGGGATGGTTACAAAAAGCACACTCCTTTATATACATTTACATTCCTTCCCCTTCTCCCTCAGTGAGGTTTTGGCTTCAATCTAAAATAAGTACAAGTATCGTTTCTGAGAATTGTGTGAAGTTTTACTCTGGACTTGTGCCTTGCACGAGGTCTTTGTCTCTCAGGTATTCAGAGGCACTCCTGGTCAGAAAGCTTTCCACAACTGTCACTTACACTCTCGAGTTAAACGTAGTGCAGTGAGGGAACTCTCTTCATCTGAATCATGTTCACAATTGCAAATCACACAGTCTTGCGTCGATACTGAGCCAAGCTGAAAAAATGAGATCCCAATAGTTTATTTAATTTGATTTTTGTATTCTTATGTCACACTCATCTTCAGTTGGGTGATTCAACTCACGTGCTAGAGGATCTTTTATTTACTTAGCCTTCTGGTTGTGTTTGGGACTTAGTGTCTGACCCTCATTCGTTCCTGGGGATCTTCCCTTGTAGTGGTCATACAGGTACACACGGGAGAAAATTTTCGTGTTGATTTTTCCCTTGAAGAGCTAGTTCATTATTTGAGATAAGCAGCTTCTTTACATGTACCTCTGCTTCCAGCATCAGCTGGAAGAGAAATGAGCCTCATGGAGCTGTTGGATTTCCTCTTACGGGATGGTTTTTGTGATTAGGTGGGAAGGACAATACTGTCTTGCTTTGGTTGCTGTCAGGTAACTACGCTGTACATCAGCTGCAGCTGTTTTCTTAGCTAAAATCTGTCTAAATTTGAATTAGCTAGGGATCTCCTGAAGCCACCCTTGTTACAACTTGGCCAGATGTGGCAGTGCACGTACAGGTGGTAAAAGCCAATGTTTCCATGGCAGTAAGTCGCAGTGTCAGCTCCTGCCATAACAGCACCTTGGAGCCAAGGAAGAGGAAAACCTGTGTGATAACAAACTTCCTCTCTCCTTTCTTGTATAACGTGGTATTTGCCTGAAGGCAGTAAGTCACTGAGCGTTATACGCTGGAATAGTTGACTTCAGCCTGTCCTCCTTTGAAGCCTACCTGCTTCAGGCCTGCTGGAACACGCTCTTTCTAATTGCTATTGATTCAGCAGTTTGTGGAGCTCGCAGAGACCCTCCAACGCTTCTCTGGTGGCTGGTCTCCACTGCTGCCTCTGCTCCTCACCTTTTTTGGTACAACAGACACATTTGCTTAGTCTTCGAAACCACGTGGAGAGTGGTTTCGGTAAGTGAGTTGGATGGGTCTGGAGTGGGTCTTGGAGCTCTGTTCACTCTCCATTTGCTGCTTTTGTCAGGAGACAGCTTCTAGGCGGCGTGAGGAGCTGTGTCATGCTGGGGATGTCCCATCCTAGGGTGGCCTGCAGCTTTCACCTACCTGGTACTGGGCTTGGGTCAATTGGGAGGTTTTAATTCAAACCATTATAAGTCCCTTTTTTCCCACCATGTGCTGATTCTTTTATCCTTACGTCCAGGCAGAACCCAGCGATTGAGGTAGTTGCATGAAATCATTTGTAAGTTCGTTTTTCAGCATATATTAAAGTCTCTGAATTTTAGGATTTTGGACTCATGGAATGTATTTCAGTGTAGTATTTTCTAGACTTGTATTGGTAGTTTTCTGACAGATGTACTAGCTGAAGCTTCGGGGGGAAGAAGAAGAAAAATACTGCGATTTGATCCCCAGGGTTAGTCAGGACAAGCTTCTACAGATACTTTAAAGGACGAGACCAGTCACCTACATTGGAGGAGGAAGCATTTCTTCCAGGTCCTGACGTTGAAGCTCTTGAGTGTGCCTCTCGATCACTGGACTAATAGAGGTTACCTCGGGGAAACATTTTTCTGTGAATTGCTTAGGCATTGTCCCTTTTTGATGGTTATTGTTTGTAGCTCTCTATCTCAGAGAGACAATCAGAGCAAAAGGAGGCTGGTGACTCTCCGAAGTATTGTGCAGGTTGAGTGCTACTGCTCCCGGCCCGTGGCTTTTCTGGTCCCTGTAGATCCTGCCTTACAAGTGGGAGTATCTGAGCACAAGAGAACAAACCAGAATGAGAACAAATAGTTTCTAATATATACCTTTACGGGAACATATTGCTGCATCGCGAGTCCCAAAATGAATACCTCCTTGTTTAGCCTGAACATAGTTCACCGTGCAACCTGTACTGTAAAGATAACAAATCATCAAAGTCAAAAGTTACCTGAAATGCTCCTTGTACCTTGCCATGGTATGTGGGATTTTTCATCCTCCTCCTCCTTCAAAATGCACCCGCTTCAGTGGCTTTTGAGCATTTGGAAGCAAAGGGGAGAACTGCTCCTGGGATTTGGATTGTGCCTGGATATGACAGCAACGCATCTGAACTTGTATTAATATTTTAGCAGAGTGTCACCAAAGTGCAGAAACAAATAATTAAAGGGTGATAAGCTTATTCTGAACATACACTGAACAGGTTAAGTTGGGGTCCCTGACCATTTTGCTTGAAAAATATAAATTTAACATTCAAATTTAAAACCTTGTGCTTTTGATAGCAAATACTAATTTCAAATCTTTTCAGAAGAAGTTCTGAATACTTCTAATGTAGGAGATGCAACCAAAGTGACTTGTGGCTCCAATGTTAGAAAATGTTGGGAAGCTTTAGGAACCTGCAATTGACTTTCCAGGCAGCATACTGGCACTTCAGCTTTAATTTGAAAATGTTCTTATGCTGGAGCTGAAAAGGTATTAGCAAACTGCGGCTGTGGCTAGTTATTTGAGTTAATATTTTTATATTACATTATTTTAAGTTTGATCTAATGTGTTATTGAAGTAGAGGTATTTAGAGTTTTATTCTATTCTTGCTTCTTGAGCCTCCTTAGCAGGTGAAAAGCAGGCTTGCTGCACAGATGGTGGCTTTCTGGAGTTAGCAGAGTGTGCTCTCAGGTGTGTGTGGCTGGTTTGCAGGGAAAAGTGTGTCAGCAGTGGTGGCAGCAGGTAGGAACTTGGACTTTAAACAGCTTTTTGAATTGGCTTTGAAGTGAGCAGTGTAAGCCTGGGGTTGTGGTAGTGTCTCCCTTCCTTCTAAGGGACTGGGGTGGGCCAATTTGAGGTGGACATCTGAAAGTTTAAATCAACTGTGATGGAAGGAGACAGGAGTTAATAACTACATTGCTCTCCTTCCTTTCATTTAACGAATCCTTCAAGTCAAATAATTTATCAAGTCACAGACAAGAAGAACATTTGCCAGGCAGAACCCGCTGTGTGTGTGAAGGCAGAGGACGTTTCTCCACGCTCTTCTGTGTCAGAAAACCCCGGTTTGAGCCCTGTGTGAGGTTTGCCTGGCTTCGTGTTGGGTGACCAGCCACACAGGCAGCCGTTTACGTGGTGACAAAGGTCTGTGGTGTGGGTTTTTCCCTCCCTTCAGAGCCTCCAGATGGAGATGTGTTTCCCAAGCATACGTTACCCATGGGAAGTGCCCGTCGGAAGCCGGCCTGCCGGGAGCGTGTGCCCAGATAGCACCATTCTCATTTATTGGCAGGTCACAGATTGTTT